TTCACGTCGTAGTCGTGCAAATGCGTGGTACACGTGCAAAGTTGTTGTTTTGAGTAATAAACCTATTGCTTTTTTGACGTCCTCCGTGTTGCCGTTGCCGTTGTCGTTGCTAAAGCCCCCTACAGTATGTTGCTGAGTGAGTATCCCCGGGCGCCACCGTGAGGATAGGGTTTAATATGACAACCCATGGTGTAATACACTACAATTAGCTACAAAGTAGTCACTTGGACACGGCCACTCTTATTCACGAGCACTAGCACAGTATTTTCAATTACAGAATTAGCAATTAATATTTTGGAAATAGCTCGCAAACAACTTCAGAAATACCGTGCGACCACACCTGCAAAGTCCTTTAGGCATACACATTTCCTAGATCCCTAGCTAACTATAGGCTACCCTACAAACTTTAGGGTGGTATTAACAGAGCATTGTGTTTATCGCCAATTAACAACTCAGTAAAAACGAGGAATGGCATGCAGAAAAAGGCATAGTTATTGTTTACGGTCTGTCTCCTGTTAAATCCCAAAAGTTTTTGCCGGCTGTTAATCACACCAAATTAAGGATCCCTATGTTCACTCCTGAGCTGATGGAGAAAAGCACGTGCAATCTTGTATGAAAGACGAAAGTTTGTCAATAAGGTCTCCTTTTCTTTCCCTGGATTTGAATGGTATTTTAAAGTGACACAAGATTTTTTTAGCATTACCACGTTGAACTCACTAGGTTGTTCTTCCTTTGACATACACATAGCTTGAAAGCTTCTGGTTGAGGGTGCTGTGGTCTCAATTCTTCAGCGATATCTGCAACAAGTTTTTGCCTTTCGAACTCCTCGTCTTCTTTCAGCAGATCTCTATGGTCAAGTTCAACTTGTATACACTTAGAACTATGTTTACGTGTTGACTCAAACGGGCCTAGAGTCTAACATGGGCTGGCAAAAAGTGAGCACGGAATTTTAACGGATGTGGCGGGAACTCCTTATGATGGCCTATACGGGGAGGTTCCGCCCGAAAGGAGTATCTTTTTCAGGCTTCAGGTATATGAAAGGGTGGGCATTTCACTAGATGAAGTATATAAAAGGGCGAGTGAGCTTATTGCAGCCTTAGCAGCACCTTTGGCGGTTCTTAAAGAAAAAAGAACTAAGTTTAAGAATTTACAACCTCGTCTCCAGGGCTTTTCCCTTTTTAAGGGAAAAGCCCTGGGGACGAGGTTGAAGAATTTAAGGAAAAAGTAGAAGGACTTTATTTTTCAGAAATTAATATACACGGGAGAAATGCTTGTAAAAGTAGAGGTGGAACAGTGGGGAGAGAGGGTGGATGGTAAAGTAGGTTAAAAATGGAGAGATGAGATGGAGCAAATTGTTCAAGAGGGTATACATACAAAAAAAAACCCAGCAATCTGAAGGTATTTTTGAAGACTTAATGAAAACGAAAACAAAACGAAAAAAACAGAGAAATCTTGTCCAATAAACCTCTCCGGCAAATGTGTGGACATGGTTGCTGACTGTTTGATCGTACTCTTCTCGACCCTTCGGCGTCAAGTTTTTTTGAAGTTTCTTGCGACAGGAGGAGCAAATCGGCTATAAAAAGTTGAGACTAAGGTCTCACTAATTTTTACAAAACCAGAGACATGCTTTAAACACTGTTTAAGTTCAAAGAATTATTTTTATTGCAAGAATGAAACACTTTTCATACACGTAAACGACACCTCGACCACAATCACTCCTAGCCTCGTCCCCAGGACATTCTTCTTAGAAACTGGCAGGGGCGGGAAAGCCCTGGGGACGACGTTGAATCCTGACTCCGTGTAGAAAGTTCTTTTTTTCCCATTTATAATGCTCTTCAAACAATCATCAGAAAACTATCTTTTACAACACACGGATTAACCGGTATGTAGAGTATTTTAAAGGTAAGAATTGATTAGGGCAAGATACACGGCTGTCAAAAAAATAGAAATAACAAAAACTATCTTTGCAAGCTCAAATAAACTGGAAACGAACTTCAGAAAACATCGCAAGATAAAATGTTAAACAGAGAAATTAGAATATCTCTGTACGTTAAGCAAATTTTTTGCATGAAGAAGAAAGAACAATGATACTTACGTGATGGAACAAAACTTTCACTTATTTCGCTGGCTATCTGGAAATTTACGACATATCTTAATCTTGCCACAGAAGTTATCTTGCCAGTATGATCCAGAGTGTGACCGGGGTATTGACAAGACCTTAGGCTCGATTTCCGCCGTCTCCCGGTCCGTTGGGGGCTCATTTTCCAGCACAGCGGCTTACAATCGCGCCTAACAAGAGCTTGGCGCTCGCAAAAACCTGCCGAGTAGGTGTCTGTGCCCTGTACACACTGCGCCCCCCTCGGAGAAGGGGCCTTTCCTGAGGGAAGGGGGCTCTGTACACAGGCTATTTAGTGTCTGTGCCTTGGGCAGATTGTCATTTCAGTTCCGAATACCCAACAAGCCTCGAATACGTACTCTCGCTAAAATGAGTTCATTTTCATTGTCTTTGCTACACTTGCTACACTTAGACAAGTGACAGCTGGCTAAGTGCGACGTAATATCATCCATGCACTGTGTGACCAACACATTTTCCTCCACACCCCTACTGGGAACTGCTTGATGAAATAGCCGAAAAAGCCATTTTTCACAATTGATCTCTTCGGCGATTTCATTGACATAATTATATTTGAAACTGGCACCTGTTGCATTATAATTCAATCAGATTGAAACCAAAACAAGATCATCGTTGGAATTCGGATGTTATACCCTAACGACTAAAAAGATACTCCCTTTTGCGTGTATTCATTGAAAAAAGGAACTATTTTTCCCGTTTCATTCTGCTACCGATAAACGCTTTAAAGATCTTTGAATGAAACTGAAATTTGCTGCTAATTTAAGATAGAAAAATTGTGGGGCATTTTTTTTTTATCATAGTGCCATGTACAAAGATCTGCCTTCTCCTGATAAGCAAATATCATAATAAAGCTTTCGACGTTAACGCTATTTTTTAAGGCACGCAAAAAAGAGTGCCCAAAAATTTTCCTGCGCTAACAAGAGGACTTACCTTGCAAGTTAACTCTTATTTTTTATTATTATCAATAACTATCATTTAAAAAAAAAGATGATAATATTATAGAATTGATCGACACAACGCTATTGTTTTTAATCGACCACCCCTCTTTAGGAATGCGTGACAGGCAACGTAATTGAATTATTTTAAGCCACACAAACATATATCATGATATATTATTCAGCTGCTTCTTCCTCTTTAAAAAAAAAACAGACCTTTAAGGAGATTCTAAGTCATGGTTTGTGTTTTTCTGCGGAAAGGAGAGTTATTTTTCCCCTTAGAAATGTGAAATGTAAGGATTATATTTCCTGTCAATTTGTTGAAACAACTCATCTAAGGCTAATTTGCATGCGGAGTCACGTTTATCGTCGACAAGAAAAAGACCCAAGGAAAAGCGATTACTAAGTTTTCTCCACAGTTTCAAACGTCCAACATTTAAAGGGTCTAATGACATATAGTGATAACTAGAGACGTTAAAGCTGTGGAAATTAGTCGATAAGATGCGGACCCGTTACAATTCCAGCTTTGCTGTCAAAATGGCGAATTTTGGAACATTAACGGAACTTCGCACGCCACGCAAAGAAGAGTGCCCACAAATTTTATTGCATTAAGAAGTAGACTGGTCTTAGTACTTCTGATTTATCATAGACTTGAGTCTGGTTCAGGTGCCACTTTTGCGAAATTACCGTTCAGCTCTAGTTATGCAAATTACTTTTCCTGCTGACCAAATTAAAATTCATTTTTAAAAAAATCATATCTCAGCCAACTTTCCACAGAATGCAACATTAAACCTTGAAACTATTAATCAGAGTTAAAACTTTTGTGTGTAAAATAATCAGCTTATTCGGCTATGTAAGGTAGGTTTGACAGAGCCCTAAAGTTTCACCAAAATCGCACGACCTCCGACGGCAAACTGGCTAGTTTTAGGTGACCGAGAAAATCTTCCTGTAAAATAGACAAAAAATTGAGTTGGTCCAAATAAATGTGATATTTTTTCATGTGATAGGATAGTTATCTTCCACTGAAAAAATCAGGGCAATCCGTGATAGACCGAAATTTGCCTTATCGGTTCTTACGCGGACAGCCTCTTAAAAGTCTCTATAATAATCAAGTTATCTGCCTCATGCAGCCATTATCTCGCAGGTTTTGTGAATAAAATGGATTTGCACATCCTACCTCACATCCTACACTATCCTGCCTGCAATCTTATTATTACTATTACTGTATTCTGGCCTTTTAAAAAAGATCTGTTTAAATGAAGGTAAAGTTTGGCGGAAGTTTTGTTGGAAACACGCTTATTGTCACACAAGGGTTACCGTCTTCTTTCCTATTGCGTAAGCTCGCTGGTTTGGTTAAATTATATGCACCCTTAATATATTCTGCTGCTGCCAGGTTGTGTAGCGCAACACAGCAAGCCGCGATCAATTTTGCCCTCTCAAACTTTCTTCGATAAACTTTTCAAATGAATCATTTTTTTAGAAGCCAGCTGGAGCTTCGACCGTTTGCACTAAATGAATATCTCACCAAAAAACTATACACTTCTTCCGATCCTTTTCTCTTAACACAATGTGGAATCTTAACATAATGTGGAATTGGAATCTTCTAGATGGTGCTGCTTCTATTTTTGCCGTGTTGCACGCATTTTGAGGAGATGAATACCATCATGACGTCATCTTTTCGGACTGAAGCACGGAAGATGATGCTCTTTGCAGACCCCTTGCGCACTAGCAATCACTCCAATTCAGCGATAAAACTGTATGTTAGTTGCTTTTATAGATTGATTACACGCTGGATTCAACTTTTATCAGTTAAATTCCGTTTAGTATTCGTTACATAACGTCCTATTTCTCTTTTCAAAACAATGTGAGGGTATTCCCCGAATATCACGCCTTTGTGAGTTTTAAGTGTGTAAAAACAATAGCTAAATATGCAGCAAAGTCCTAGTTTTTGAAACGCATTTGAAACCAAATATCATTAAGTGGCGATAGAGTAGGGTACTTAAGATTTTAAAGGAAGACAACGCTTGTACTTCCGGTGATAAGAGGTTGTACGTTCTTATTCAACTGTATTGGTTCCTGGATTTTTGTAGCGTTGCGATGCGTCTAACGGTATAGGCATCCAGGCTTAGACTGTACACTACAAAAATGGACCGCGTCATTCTTAGACTATACATAGCGCTTATTTTCCTTGTGGTAGAAACTCCAGGAGCATCGATTTTCGATCAGCAGACAGGTAAAAGTCCCATTTCAACTTTGTTATTACAGACGTAACAAATTCACAAGCCATAAAAAGATAAACCGAAAATCAAATTAATTGTTACCATTATTGTAATAACACTGGATACAACTTTTGAGTTTTAAGAAAAGTGGCACTTTGTTATTTATTCATTTACTCACATGGTGTGTACAAACGACATTCAAATAATAACTTGAGTAGTTTATGCGATTTTTGGCTATTTACGAGCAATCTTATATAAGGCGTAGCCAACGTAAGCCATCATAGAATAGTAATTAACCCTAACTTTAATTCATCATTTTCACACAGACCAGAATGCACATTGTTTTCCCCCTTCCCCTCCCCCTCCCGCAAAAAAATGCATAACCATTGTTTCCAATTTCTCCTGGGTATTACAGTCGTCCCAACAGGATTCGAAGACAATTGTTATGCAAAACTTTGGGGGTCAACAAGGTGTATGTGAAAATGGTGACTTATGCATATTTCGGCATGGTGTTAGCGTTAACACACCTGAAGGGGCCCGTTTCTCAAAAGCCCCGATAATTAGGGGGCCCGGAAAATACGATATCAAAGTTTCAGTAGTTTGCAGATGATATAATAAAACCATCAGTTAACAACGCAAAATGGACTGGTTTGTTAGCAAGGTCGACCAGCATTTATTCTTTAGACTTTGGTTTGAATTTTTAAATTGGGGACAGAAAAGTTACCGGGACTTTCGAGAAACGGGCCTTGTTTGTGAGGCGGCAAAAATCCAAAATTTTGTGGGATGGTCGGTTAGCTTTCGCAAATAAACTTGATTGGTGAATTTAATGATGTGGGATATGCGATTTCACTGATTATCTTTACCCGCGAACACCTTTGCTCGATTTTCTGCTGGTCGAACATATTTTCTTTCTCCCTAACAGTGATCAATGATGACAGTCTGTTTAATGAAGGTGATATTATAGTCACATGTGACGTCTTAGGGGGGACATTGTGTCAAGATTCTGTCCAGTGTATTGGTACAACTAAGAGATGCAAGATTGAACAAGATTGCAATGATCTCTCAGACGAGAAGGACTGCAGTAAGTATAATTGTAGCCTGAATTTCATCCGATTACGTACTCCCTCAGTAACGACGTTGCTGAGAGGAAAAAACGACTCGAAGCAATCGAATGAAATTCAGGCTACAAAGTTCGGTGTTTTAAATTAAGTCATGACCAACAAAAATTAATCCGTTTCTGATATTACGAAAAAATAATTAACAAGTTAAAAAGGATAAAAACTCTTTTTGCCTTAGGTCCTCCAAAACAAATGAGTGCGTATCTTAATAATGAACATAAAATTCGGCTTCTGATCCGTGACATTGGTTTGCCACATTGCTCGCCTTTCTTGACGGCAATCAGCTCTTCCAGGCGACTATGATACCTTAGACATTCGGCATTTCCCATACCGCCAGTTGTTGTACAGACCGAGGGCGTAAATGTTCCATGCTCAATCTGAATGTCGAGAACTGTCCTTGAATACAGACACTTTCTTACCTGTTGTGGTTCTAGGTCCTTACACGATTCAGCATTTTGGCGACATACCCTAACATCAAAGACGATACCGCTCGTTGGTGCTTCCAGAACCCACTTGCATGGATATCCAATCTCGCATCTTGTGCTTTTAATTATTAGATCCTCTACTTAGCTGTTCTCCAGATATCTCACTGCATAACGTACTCAGAAGTTTCGGGCTTCCAGATCTCGTATCTCGTTGTGACGCTGAGTCAGTAACGAAATCTCTACCTCCTAGACTGCAAGACACAAAAAACGCTAAATGACGTAAACCCGACGCTAACTTGGTCAGGAATATTTCTTCCCGTCCCTTAGACGAGACTGAAACACAAGTACTTTCCTACGGACCTAAACACTCACTGACACCAAAACAAATACCTACTGAGGCTATTGTATCCAGTGTTGAGGCTGTTCTGTCTCGACAACACGAGCTATCCGAATCGACCAAGGATAACATCAGAAGTACCTGCAGACGACGTTATGGACCTACTCAACCTCTGTTTGACTTTGACGTACTTTCAGTACGAGAGCAAACACTACAAACAGTTACACGGTACAGCTATGGGCTCTCCAGTTTCTGTTGTTGTAGCAGAAACTGGTATGCAAAACATCGAGGAAAAAGCCCTAGCTACTTATACGCGAACTATGCTCTTCGCTGACGACACGTTCACCGCTGTACACAAAGAGGAAATCGACGATTTTCACGAACACCTTAACAGACAGAACGCGGACATACAATTTACCCAGGAAATCGAGGAAAATGGTAAAATACCTTTTCTAGACTGCTTGGTCACTCGAGACAGCAACAGACTACGAACGACAATTTACAAAAAACCGACACATACCATCAGATTACTAGACCTGCCATCGTACCAACCGACCTCTCACAAGGCTACAACTATAGGGACTTTGACGAGACGAGCACAACTAGTTTCCGACTCGCCTGACAGCCTACAAGACGAGACTGACGACCTAAAAAACCTTTGTAGTAAAAACAACTACAACACGGACTTTGTTAGACGGAACACTCACGGTAACACTGATTCCAACACTCAGACCAACGACAAGAACTCTGGCCCGGTTACGACAGCGACTATACCGTACATCAGAGGCTCCTCTGAAACTATCGTACGTATGCTACAACCTTATAATATACGTGTTGCACACAAACCGATAAGCACTTTACGATGACTACTTACTAATGTCAAGGACAAAGACAAAGGCGGAGGACAGACAGGCAGCAGTATACAAGATCAAATGCTGCGACTGCCAGGCTACTTACCTTGGTGAAACCGGCAGAAACCTTAGCATGCAACTGACCGAACACAAACGAGCGACAAGAAATAATGACGTCAACAATCACATTGCTAAGCACCATTTACAGACGAAACATCAAATCGGCTAGGACTCTGCGACACGTATTACGTATTTTACAGACTACTATCACTTTAGAAAGCTGGTTTACTAACTTAGAACAAACGCCACTAAACTAGAATTGGAGTGTCTATCTGGAATTTTATTTCACATTCTGTTAAAACTCTCAACTTATCTAATTTTCATAAAAAAATAAATCACTACTCCTTAATGTCCTAGACAATAAAGATAATTTTTTGAATGTTACCTATATATAAAATAGAATATTTTAAGAAGTTAACCCAGTGCGTTGTATATACCTCCAGTTGTAATTTTAGTCTTTTTTTTTCTAATAACAAAACCACTGTGCTTGAGTTTGTGTGTGGAGTTTTTCTTTCTGTGTGTTGTTGTATTTCTTTTCTTTTCCTCTTTTGCTTGTGTAATTTAATTACGTCTTTATTTATAATTTTTGCCCTGCCTAGATTAGCGTTATAGCTATTTGCAGGGCATAAAGTATTGTAAACTTTATGGTACATTGTTGTTGTTATTGTAGACAACAGTTACCGGCACTGTACAAACGACTTATTGACGTAATCAAGCAAAACTACGAGAGAACGACTGGACAACTGACAATTTTGACTAACAATAGACGGATCGAAACGCACCAATGATACTACGAGTCTTCATAGCCAATAACATCGCGACTTAATTGACCAATCAGGTCAATAACCAGAGTTTAATACCATCAAGTGACGTGACACAACTTACTTTGACTCTGAAGATGACTACCGCGCAGGTTGTCGAAACGTCAGTCACTGTCAACAACAACAGTCCTATTCAGGACTACGCTCACCAGGACGATCATGCTCAACTTACTTATGAAATGACTCCTGGGTTCAAACCTTTCACAATCCCAAATTTGGTTGTGCGAAAAATGCCCAAATTTGGGCTAAGGGTGCTAAGAACATCCCACCACTTCTTAATTTCTGTTGTACAGCCAGCTCCACTGGCATTATCTCTAAAGCAGCATTGCTTCACCCTGAACGTTGCTTGTAGACTCGTAATTAAAGGCTGAATGCTCAATGAGTAATTAAACCCATAGCTAGAAGGTCGCCCTGTGTTGCTCCTTCTGCTGAAACGATCTCTTTGCCGACAGCGATTAATAGCCGAGCTGGGTGTCTTTAGGTATATTAACAGGGTAGGCTGCGATTATAGGCACGAAACGCAGATGTTAGGCAATGCGGCTGCTCAGTTAAGTGCGTTGAATACATTAGAAGCGTCAATGAGAAGTACGGCATCAGTGTCATCCACCTCAAATATAGCACGCATAGCGTGTATAGTTGCTGCCTCGCTACAGATATTTGTCCAGCACATTGCTAGAGTGAGCCGCTTACCTCGACCACATCCTTTTTGGCGACCATCATTACGCACTTTCCGCAAACTCTCCCAATTAACTCTCCCCCTCCTATTGGTCCGACAGCACCTTCGCCTTTATCCAGTGGAATTAGACGGCTAGCCACCAGAGGCTCTATGGTCGTAGGGTCGATATATTGCGTAAATAGAATGATTATTGCCTCACATAGCCCTCAAGATGACTTTTAAAGGTCACTTACAGGGGAGGATTCTTCTTCAATCTCACCAGTCAATCTCTGAGTACACTGATTTTGGAAACTCGTCGTCGGTCGGCCCGAAGAGTAATGGACCTTATTTTGTTCGTTGTGGGATGGGATGTTCCTGTTTCAGCTGCGCCTTGACCTCGTCTGTTAGTGCTGACACGACACCACCGGTCATTTTATTCAGGAAAAGCAGCGCTGATGAGTTGATTTCTTGATTTGAACCTCGAGCACGAGCTTAGCAAAAATCTTCTATCGCGTGGTTCCGACGCCCTGAGTTTTTCGATACGACCTTCAATAACTCGACCTTCGCATAGAAGCTTATTAATTTCACCTCGTTTCCAAAGTATTGGGCGCTTAGGCAAAACGTCTTGGTGATCTTTTGTCTTGGACTCCGGGCTTAGTTTTTTAGCTTTACAGCAAGGAGCACCAAGGCTGCTTTGATTATGTGTTGATTAATAATGATAATGATAACAACAATAATTATTATTATAATATAATAATAATAATAATAATATAATAATAATAATAATAATATTAATAAAGCGCCGATACTAATTTAATAGAGGATATTACATGGCCGCCCGGAGATAAATATAAAGGCCAATCAGGCCGTTTGGCTGTTCATTCGTCAATAACACAGTATGCCTCGTGCCTATTGGACAGTACGCGCTATCACGCGCAAAAATTCGGTCTGTAATCATAACCGAGTTGTACTCCACTCAGTCCTGTTACCATTGTTAAATTAACAGCTTATTGGTAATATCCTGAACTAGTTTCAACAACAGAAGTAGCACTAGATCTTAGCTTTAATTTTACGCAGACCCTCAGACCTGACATCTGAAAAAGAACTTACTTCCCATTCTTATTAGGCATTTAAAATAAGAAATTGGTTGAGGCTCAATCCACGATAACATGTCCTCTATGTATGAGACTGATACGAGACTTGCCGGGTACTGATGGTCTTTTCCATTCATCACCTTAATTTCTACAGCTGATTCTTTATTGGGTTATAAGACACAAATACCAAGTGAAGAGGATGAATTTCAATGTTCAGATGTTTCCAAATGTTTAACTCGAGATCTTCTTTGTGATGGTATCCCAAACTGTAGGAATGGGGAGAAGGAACCTTTGTCTTGCGGTGAGTGTTAAACAACAACGCTAGTTCACTTCGCGTAATTTGCGTTATACGCAGGCTCGATTATGCCCGGCTTTTAGAGAGCTAGTGTTTTGTTTGTTTGTCTGTTTTTGTTTGTTTTCTGTTTGTTTTTCACTGAGCTCAGCAATGCCCGGCGTAGATTGAACAATTAAACTTTTCACAAATATCTTAAATCCTTATAGAGTTTCTGTTTCTTTTTGGCTTTTAACTGAAGCTTTTTAATATAGATAAGACATTACGGATCGCAAATGGAATAGACCGTACAGAGCCATCAAGTTGAGATGTTTCTGCGACAATTCACCGTTAATTGCAATCTTGAAGGCATTATGCTATACTTTAGTGAGGAGGGAGGGGTCACAAGTGTCACTAGATATGAGGTTGCAAGGCTTGTTTAAGGCTTTAGTTTGCTCCGGGCAAAGTAGATATGGCCGTTTCTCTGTCAGGTTCTATCACACCAACTAGCTTTGGAATAAAAGGAACTGTAATAAATACTCATCCATTAGCTTTTTGCTTAGGTGAGTGTGCTTAGCGGTTTCATTTGCTTGACTGCGTGCATACGATTCTTTTCGGGGGACACTCCTCCTACCTAGATTTAAAATCCATGATGGCTCAGTTCTGTGACGTTAAATAGACACTCGGCTCGGTTGCCGTGGGGCTCTTTTGTTTCGAAGACGGAGCAATAGGTTTTCTAGTAGAGATCGGTCGTACCATGGGTGAGAATGTCATTTGTAATGTTCCTCACACTTGTGACATCCCTCTAGGACTTGCCCTCTTGTTGGCATACCTCAGGTCACCTCACAGCCGACTTACGCTTTGGGAATCTTAGCTTAGGATTCGAAGTTGCGGTAGACACCCGATTCTTCGTAGCTGATAGTTGGGTTTACTATTAGCATCTTATAGCGTGTTCGGAGCGTGCCCTTTTCCCCGGGCATTTGTCATCCTGTGGGTGCCGGCAGTAGGGAATTTGTCAGAAACCCTTTGCCCGGGGGTGGGGCATTTGTCAGTTCTTCTAGAGCGGTTAAGGTGGCTACGACATTAACACAGGCCCATTGAGTCTTTTCGTTTTTAACGCGATGACTCCGAAACGTTTTTGCAAAGAACAACAGATATCAATGGGCAATGAAATATTTCGATTTCATTGATGGTAGATACTTTTTGCGAAATTAGCGCTCAAGTGGACCCTTAACTGTTCAGAGAAAATCGCTTCCATATAGTAAAAAACGTTTGCTGATATTTTTGACTGAAATTTCTGGTAATGACTTTTATTGACAATAAATATGCGAGAGAAATTTCACACAAATCGTTGGAGCACACGTCCGTAACTAGAAAGTCGTTCAAATTTAGCTGTGCAACTGTTTTGGGATTTCAAAAATAAATTGCTGCGAGGTAGAACGAGACACCCGTTCCAATTTTCGGGACTATGGTAAGTCCAGTGTTTGCTAATTCTTAAAATTGGCAAACACTTATTATTTAAAAGGCTCCTTTTAGTTTTAGAAGCACTACTCCAAACCTTGGTCTGAAGTCGAATGACTTGTTCCTCGACATTTTGAAATGTCCCTTAGCAGTTTTGGCTGAAACTCCTGCTACATACATACATTTTGAGGTATTGCAGTGCATCTTCAACGGCTTTTACTGATGTACGTTTGCTTCCAATTCAAAAAAAGGTATTGGTTTTGTAAGCTACCTTGTATCAGACATCAGATAGAACTGTCGAGCACCTTTGTTTAATTTTATGACTATGAACTGAGCTCGGGCGGCAGTTCTGCGAGGAATTCGTATCCTATTGGGGGGGACGAGCGACAATCATATCGATATTCATGCCAGCGAACCGACTTATATCACAATGCCAATTAATAAAATTATCGCGAAGTTTCGCGAAGGGTTGCGAGATACTTATTTCTTGTAAAACTAGAATTGTAATAGAGTGGTTTTTTTTTTAATAAAACCTGACTTTTTGCATATATTTTTGCAACGAATGATTGCAGGCCGCTGTTGAATTTCGGTTATGTTTTGCAGTTCTTTGCGGGAACTTCGGAAAGGTCAACTCACTTCACGGGGAAGCTTCAAACGCTACTGTGATACTTCGTTGCAAGCCTCCAATGGGTTCTTTACCACCGAATATCACGTGGTACAAAAGTTGCTGCGGCAGAAGCTTGAGTGTTGGAAGCGAGAAGAGTATGGAGCTGATCAGAAAGGGTGTGAGCACAAACGACTTAAGCAATTTCCGTTGTGATGCTGAGAACATGACAGCGCGCCGAGAGGGACCGTTGATAAGACTTGAAGTTCAAGGTTGGTGATCACGTTTTAATTCTCGTTCCTCTTTCAGTCCAGGGTTCTATGTTTCTCAAGAGTACTAAATTATACTGCCTTGTACAGTATTTACATAAAAGTTAAATTTCTATCTGATCTTTTTAATCAATTTCAGCGGATTCTGATTTTAAACCTCCAAGATATCAGGAAAACGACCTTAATACCATGCAGTAGGACAGTCCAAGGCTAGAAATCCACAACTGAAGCCAAAAACCAAAAGTATCTTAATCCTAAATACACCCAAGCATGCATTCTTGTGTTTCAACTTCCATTTAAAGTTATACTCTCCACCAGTCGGCCAAACTTTGAGTTTCCGGCACCAAACTACACTGTCGTATATTTAATTCTCTGTGCTTTTTTACAGTTTTCAAAATTTGAAATACGATTTGTACTTTCACTTTGTTTTTTCAACTTAATCAAAGTCAATTCGTGGATCGGGTTCGATTACGTTCGGCAATCGAACATTATCGAGCTCGAAAAAAACCGCTTAATCGAACACAATCGAACGTTCGCATCCCGGACTCTTGATAGAGAGACAAGATCACAATGGAAACTCGAGAAATCACTTCTTGATCAGTTGTTCGTTCTCTATGATTTTGACCTTAGAAAAAAAATTGTTATACCAATTCATTTACTTTCCATCATGGGAGTAACTTCTTCTCAGATATCCAGAATCCCACATTATTGTTAGCTGCTCTATTTTTCACATTTATGTTACATAATCATTCAGTTGTTCTTTTGCCTGTGTCCTGGGCAATACCAATGAAGTGACTGTGTGTTCAGCTAATGAAGCAGACCGGGAACAGATGACGGCTGGCAGGCCAGCAGACTATATTAAAGCAGATTTTGTGCGTGCTTGTCATTTAAAACAAGAATGAAATGAAGCAAGATGACTGAGAAAGCTTAAGAAAGTTATTTGTTCGATAGAGTTCGGGTTTACTCGGGTTTTATTCCCTTGTACCCCTCCTTAGACGACAAGTTAATTATGTCACTGTAAACTTTTGCAGCATTGGCCCGTAAGGGTAAGAAAACATCGCACAGTCGACGATGTCCAGTGGGTGAATTCCGATGCAAGGATTCTCCCCGATGTATTCCTAAAAGTAAACGCTGTGGTGGTTACAAGGACTGTAGGAATGGAGAAGATGAACCAACGCCGTATGGTGAGTTTAAAAAAGGAAATATGCTGTAAATAAACCATGTCTAGTTCATGGGGTGTAATAGACCAGAGTTAAATACTGCATACTAATGTGGAAAATAACGTGTGTCTTGTTTGCACTTGGATGCGACATTCTTTTTCATTCCTCGCGAAGCGATGGCGAACTTCATCCTTAGCTTGTTTGCAGGGGAAATGATTGAAATGAATGTGATTAGAAAAAGGTTTCTTTGGCAGGCAGTTTTTCTTGGAAGAATGGCAGCATAGTCACTAGACAACAGTTACCGTTTACGACCTTCTAACTGAACCGTTTTGTTGGCCCCCTTTTTCGTGGTAACACGATGAGTTTGAGGACGTGACATTGTATGGCAAATGATCCTTTCTCGGATCTTCCTTTTTTGAGCGTTGAAGAATTCATATGACCTACGATCACAACTCTGTTTTTGGATTCTCAAAATTACGCACCCAGAGTGTGTATAGTGTGGGGGTGTGTTCGACCAACTCGCTCGCTACACGACGAGGTACCAGGAATCTGATTTACATCTTGGCCTTTATTCTTCTTAATCTTCTTACAACTTCTGCTTACTATACTTCTGCTCTACTTCTCTTACATCTATAACCCGAGTTCAAGTATAGTAGCGGTTTTTAATAGCCAAAGCTGGGCATGTTTGGGTTAGCTGACCGGAAGAGTTTCTATTGTATTTCTTATCGCTAACACTGCAACGGGTTTGCTATTGTCAGGGAATAGATTAGCCTACGCCCAGCCGCAGCTGATAATTATCAAAGAACGAAGGACAGCTCTAACACCACAAACACGACCACCTGTAACATTCCTAATATGGCAATAAGTAAATTCGCGAGCTAAGCATAACTTCAAATACAAGTAAAAACAAAAGGTCAAAACAGGAAAACAGTACGTGGACAAAAACAAGACTTAATGAAACGAAAACTAAACTTAAAAGACGAGGTAAATCCGTCTTAAAAATAACTTTCAAAATACTTCACAGTAAAGACTTTATAGTAAGTAAAGACTTTATTTTATTAGGGTTAGCACGAAATAGCCGGGGCTAATAAACTTGTGGCCCTCTAAATAATAAATAATAAAATAATAAATGAGTATACTAAGCTATGAAAAAATACAAGATTAAAACCAATTAAGAATACAGATACTATAGAATCTACTAAATTATTTAGAAGATAAAATATAGCGTTATAATAATCTCACAGTTCATCAAGTAACTTAAATAGAAAAATGATCAAGATTCTGCTGTTGTTTAAAAAATTCATTCCACAATGCTTTTTTTAAAGAGTCAACTGAGTCCCTTTGCCTTACAGGCAAAGATAAGCTGTTCCACGCTTTGCAAGTTGTTACGGTAAAAGTTCTGCCTCCTTCTGTTTCGCGATTATACCTCGGAGAGGTTAGGTTAAAATTACAGTACCTGGTTTTTCTACTGTGGATGTTACTGTATAATTTAAGTAGATCGTTGAGATAAACAGGGACGTCACCTTGTAATCGCTTATAAGCAATGATACATTTAGATATGAAAGCGTCTTTATAAAAAGGCAACCATTTCAGCCGATTAAACAAGGGAACTGATGGTGCTTGAGAGGGGGGCATTCAGGATTACTCTAGCTGCTCGTTTTTGGAGCTTCAGGACCCGCCCAAGGCTTTCCTTATCACAATTAGTCCAAAGGACGCTTGCATAATTAATCACTGGCCTGATCAAAGCATTGTAATAAAGTAATCTTTGTTTAAGGGGCAGATAATTCCCCCCTTAGAAGAAGCATCGTCCTCGATGCAAAAGGACGTAATACATATAAATGGCAAATAAGGGAAAGTTCATTTAATATGACAGGGGGGATGAAGATATTGAAACTCGAAGCTTGAAATTTTAGCAGCCCCCTCGCTAGCGGTGCAATTTTTAGGAGCCCCCTCCTTGGTAGTCGAAAAAATTTCAGAGCCCCCCTCCTCCTTCAATTCCTTTGCTCCCCTGAAAAAAGATCGCTAGACTGTATTAAATATATTTACCGTTATTGTCTTCAATGGTTTATACTATGACAAACTTGAGATACAGTTGTGATACAATTTTCTAAAGCATTTTTGGGATGAACAAGAGTGTAATAACTACTGAGACTACATTTGTTATATCTGTAAACCACGTGATATAGCTGAGTTGCACAGATCATTAAATTGTTGAGTTGAAAACCATCCGATCTGTATGATGATGTCATGTGTTGGTTTTGAAGTATATTAATTTTCGGAGCCCCCCTCCTAGCGCAACAATTTTTTCAGAGCCCCCCCTTCGGGTGTCTAAAAATTTTCGGAGCCCCCCCTCAATATCTTCATCCCCCCCTCCCTTGTCATATTAAATGAACTTTCCCTAAGTGCGTAAAATATCAAAACAAAACTACCACACTACACAATGTTAATTAAAACAATGTCAACAGTTCAATGTCAATAGTTCAGTGTTCAATACATTGTCCATGAATCTTGAGACTTGAAAACTTGAGCTAAATAAATTGATGATAGTGTTCTTGTGAAGGACTTGACTAGAGAACCACTTGAAAACGTTGAGAATTAACAGTATAAATCATCCTGTAGTAGCATACAAGACGGTTGCTAGAAATGCCATTTCAACTTGAATGTAGCGGAGAACGCATACTTGGAAGACAAGGCTATTTTGTTGGTAAATGTTATGAAACACAGCTCCAAATGAAGCGAACTCGTCTGATGAAGACAGGATGTACTGACCAGTGATAAGTATCAACAAGAACAGTTCTGCTTAACTGTAACAAAGAAGGGGTCAAACTCGACCAAACAGAGTAGCCAATGCCATGCGGAGTAATCAAAGTGTGTTTAGACTTCTTGGAGACAAACAATCGAGTAATGCTCAGATCCATTTCAGTAGTACAAAGTGACGAAAAATCACGGACAAGCCATCGAAGAACAACAGAAGAATCGGTGATTAAATACATGACGAAATACAAATGCAAGCAACTTTACAAAATAACTATTACAAAGCACGTAATTTATATAATTATCTAATTATTTAATTTCCGACATCTAAGGTTATAATAACTATTTTACACATTGTCAAATAACTCAAACAGAATAGCCACAGAAACAAAACATAAATATAGAAACTAATAGATCAAACGATTTTAAAAAAGACATTAGATGCAATAATTTCACGTGCGCATAACTTGATAATGAAGAGAACTAACCAACTTGTTTAATGAAGAACTTAATATTAACTGTGTTTAAAATAACATTTCAGACACTAATGGAAACCTAACTGATAACAGATGGTGAACTTCTGACTTCAAAAACTTATCAAATTCATGATATTGTAAACAACTCACAAAAAGATTATAGACAGACTAGAAAAACAGAGAGAAGGCGTTCATAAATTCATGGACAAGAATTTCTTGTGGAATACCGAACTCAATTCATGGGTAAGAGAAAATCAAAGAAATATAAGCCAAGCAGCAAGGCAGAGTACAAAAACTAGAATTATTTTTGTGATTGAAGATAATGATCAATGAGATGTCTATCCAAAATATGGTGTTCCGGTTCCCACGTTGATTGACTCTTAGGAAAGAAGAGCCACTTGACCAAGTACTCGACCTTTCCATTTCTCTTTCGGTGTTTTAGAATTTTTTCTGCACTAAACACAGTTTTATTGTCGATAACAATTGCTTCCGGAGATGATTCTTTTGCATTTTGAAGTTGATTCTTTGTCTTTTCTTGGCATGATTCTTTGTTTGACTCGTTCTCTTTTTGAGGCTGTGGTGACAGTGGCGTCTCAATACTAACTGGATTTAAGTCAGTGTCTTTAGGATTCGCTTCAGCAGAACTTGGCTCAAAACAAACTTTTGGAATATCAGATTCATTTATGTACGGCTCGGCAGGGTCATCAAAAGGCGGAGGGTCAATTGGTCTCAAATTAGGATCAACAAATGGCTTCATACGATTTGCGTGACACGAAAAAGCCACTTTTTTATTGGTGATCGTGCGCAACTTAAAGTGAACCGGTGACAATTTCTCAACAATTCTATATGGACCCAACCAATTATGCATTAACTTTTTGGATAACCCTTTTCTAGTTCTCGGGGTATAAACCCAAACACGTTGTCCAACTTTAAAAACAGGTTCTTTTGTCTTTTGATCGTAATAACCCTTCATTTTTTGTTGTGCACGCTGTAAATTTTCTGTCGCTAAATTCTGAGCCAATTCCACTTTTTCGACAACACGTTTTCGATAGTCAAGGACCGAAGTACTCAAATCATCAGCCACAGGAGGCAAATACTTAACGTCAATTGGCAAGCGTGGCTCTCGCCGATAAAGAACGTAAAAAGGAGAATCCCCAATTGCATCTAAAACAGAAGTCCTATGCGCAAACAAAATAAGCGGTATAAACTCGTCCCAATCTTTCTGGTTTTTGGAAACGTACATTGACAAAGACTGATCATGACACAAGGTAGAATTAAACCTTTCTACAAGACCATCGGTCTGTGGGTGATAACTAGAAGTATTGACCTTTTGAATTTGAAATATTTTACAAACCTCTGCAACGACCTTAGACAAAAAGTTAGTTCCCCTGTCAGAGAGCAACACACGTGGTGCCCCATGTCTAGAAATAATTTCATCAATCAAAAGACGAGCAATAACAGTTGCTTCGACACTAGGTACTGGGAAAGCTTCGACCCAACGAGTTAAATAATCACTAAAAACTACAATATACCTAATGCCTTTACTAGCAGGTGGAAAAGGACCTAAAACATCAACAGCCACTCTGTCAAATGCACCCTCGACTGGAATCGGAAGTAAAGGTGCCTTTTTCGAATTTCGTGGAGACTTCCTCATTGAACACTCAACGCAAGACTTGACCCAATGTTCTACATCTTTAAACATACCTTTCCACCAGTATCTTTGCTTAAGTTTGCTAAAAGTTTTGTTCAAGCCAAAATGAGCACCGGCAATATGATCATGTACATTAGAGAGAATTTCAAAGCGTAATGCAGCTGGGATAACAAGCTGAGAAAAAGACTCACGAGCATTACGCCTTCGATTAAAATCCATGTGGTAAAGCAAACCATCTTGACCAATATAAAAATTATCGCTAGTGAGTAAAATCTTGCGTGCATCTTTATCGTTAGTAGGTAGGATATCATTCTCTAGAAAATCAATCATTACAGCTAATTCAGGATCTCTTCTTTGCATTTCTTGAGTGTTAGGCGTTCGAGGTTCTTCTTTCTTAAGCGAACTCATTTCACAAGAATCACAAGGACGTCTAGACAAACAATCAGCATTAACATGGATTCTACCAGGGCGATGAACAATATTAAAGTCATATTGTTGCAAAAGTAAGGCCCATCTAGCAAGACGACCAGAAGAATCTTTAACATTCATTAACCAACGAAGAGAACTATGATCAGTAACAACAGTAAACTTATGATTGTGTAAATAAGGCTGAAATTTCTTAATAACTTCAACTAATGCGAGAGCTTCTCTTTCTGTGGTACTATAATTTTGCTCTGCCTGATTCAAACCACGACCATTGTAAGCAATGACGACTTCTTTTCCATTTTGAATTTGTGCCAAGGTAAAACCAATACCGGTGGAGCTAGCATCAATAAATAGCAAAAATGGTTCCCGAAAATTAGGATATGCCAAAATGGGTGCAGAAACCAAGGCACGCTTAAGCTTGTCAAAAGCCTCGGCACAAGCTACAGTCCAAACAAAAGGAACGTTCTTCTTTGTCAAAGCATTCAAAGGGTTGGCGATATGTGAAAAACCTCTTACAAAACATCTGTAATAATTAGCAAGGCCTAAGAAACTCCTCAATTCCTTCAGGTTCGTGGGGGTGGGGTATTCCTGAACCACCCTTACTTTGTCTGGGTTGGGACTAAGGCCTTCTGGCGTAACTACGTGACCAAGATACTCTGCTCTTTGTTTAACAAAACTGCACTTCTTTGGATTCAACTTAACATTGGCGTCACGCAGTCTCCTAAAAACTTCCTCCAAATGGTCTAAATGCTCATCTACAGACTTAGAGAAAATGATTATATCATCGATGTAAATCAATGCAAAACGGTATTCTAAGCCTTTCAAAATATGACCCATAAGTCTTTGAAAACTGGCTCCTGAATTCACTAATCCAAACGGCATTGTCAGAAATTCATAAAGGCCATTGTGTGTAGAGAAGGCTGTCTTCTGTTGCGAATCCTTCTGCATTTGTATTTGCCAAAAACCACTTTTTAGATCCAACACGGAAAACACGCTTGCACCAGCTAAAGAATCTAGCGCATCTGCAACTAAAGGCATTGGAAAGCTATCTACTTTAGTGACTTTATTAACTTTACGAAAATCAACACAAAATCTATATGAACCATCCTTCCTTTTTACCAAAACAACTGGAGAGCTCCAAGGAGAGAAAGACTCTTGAATTATTCCTTTTTCAAGCATTTCGTCTACTTGACGGTCAATCTCTTTCTTAACATCAGGAGATACTCTATACGGCCTTTGCTTAAAGGCATAGCATCACCGGTATCAATGACATGCTGTACAAGGGATGTTCTGCCCAACTGATCCCCAGGAAAAGCAAAAACGTTACGATGTCAAGGAGTGCATGATAACTATTTCCCTTTATCGTTACACTTACATTAAAATTGTCACTCTCGAAAGGATGGATAGAATCAATTTTACTGGATGTGGCAGGCAAAGAAACCCTGTCAGTCACATCAGTCACATATGCTCCTGTCTCTGGGTTACTTGCGACAGATAAGCCATGATACTCACTACAAATATTATTTTTAGCCCCAACGATATTCACTTCCAAATTTTCTTCATTTTTAGACTCAGGCGCCAAGTGTTCTTCTTTTTTAATTTCTTTTTTACGGACTTCTCGAGATAAATTTTCACTTGAAGACTTCTCATAAATGACTTCACTTTTAGGAGAAAACATAGGTACATTTGGCGAATGAACATTTTCGTTTTCATTTGGCGATGACCCGGCGAATACACTATCAAATGTTGTTATGACCTGAGAAAGACATAACTCCAAACAATATTTTCATTAGGGACATCTTGAGGTTGGCAATCTTGAGAACACTCATGTTGACATGTGACGGAAACTTGAGATTTAAACATTTTAGACTTTGGCGTAACAATAGGCTCACAGGGATTAGACACAACATGGCTAAACTCTTGAACATTCTTTTTAGTAACATTCTCGGCCGAATTTCCAGAGTTACTGAAAGCACATTTATCAGAACTAGATCCGACGGAAGAATGGTTATTACTTGTAGAATTTTCAAGCGCCCCCATCACGGGTTCACTACCACACACGATAGGGGCGCCAGCCAGTTTAACTGAGCGCCAATTTTTCGCTGGTGAAAAGCATTCTGCATATTTTTTCTCCGATACAGGCCTCGATTTCCATTATTTTGGACATCTGTACTCCAAACATTAGATTCTTCCCCAACAGACTGTTTGACTTCCTCTTCTGAGGGGTTAGACTGTAATTCTTCAAAATTCTCGACTTCTTGACAATTATTTGATTTACGGCTAAGAGTTACTAATTCTTTTAGTTTTGCAATGTTCAATGCAGACTCTAAATCATTTCAGGCCTTAAACCACGTACAAAACAATAAAGCCATTCACTTTTAGGTAAATTTAGACGAGAGCAGAATGAAAGAATATCATAATAGTAATCGGCAACAGTCTCCCCTAACAACTGACGACGCTCTTCTAATTTTTGCCTCAACTGCCATAGAGTTACTTTTGATTCAAAATGAGAAATTAATTTTTGTGACAAAACTTGAAAAGACTCATTTTTATCCGCCTCTGTTAAAGTTTTAAACCACACGCTAGCGTGTTTTTTTAGAAAAAGGGGAAGACCAAGCGCTAATTTTTCTTCGTCCCAACCATTTAACAAACCGGCACGTCTATAATTGCCAAGAAACTCACGAACATCTTCTCTCTCGTCGCCATAAAATAGTGGAAACTCAACAACGGGCCTATTCATTACTTAAAAACGAAACTCTGGCATTATTTTGTTTTAAATATAACTCTTATTCTACATATGACTTAACTTGGAAGAGAGTTCTCAGTTGCTTGCAATGGTAAAGTTCCTAGCACTTACAGATTTCCAGGGGCTGATCTTGTACTTTTCTCCAAAATAACGAGTTCGCCACCAAAATATCGGCTTCTCCAACAAAATATCGAGTTCACCACCAAAATAACGGGTTCTCCACCAAAATATGTGTGGGTGTGTTCGAGCAACTCGCTCGCTACACGACGAGGTACCAGGAATCTGATTTACATCTTGGCCTTTATTCTTCTTAATCTTCTTACAACTTCTGCTTACTCTACTTCTACTCTACTTCTCTTACATCTATAACCCGAGTTCAAGTATAGTAGCGGTTTTTAATAGCCAAAGCTGGGCATGTTTGGGTTGGCTGACCGGAAGAGTTTCTATTGTATTTCTTATCGCTAACACTGCAACGGGTTTGCTATTGTCAGGGAATAGATTAGCCTACGCCCAGCCGCAGCTGATAATTTTCAAAGAACGAAGGTCAGCTCTAACACCACAAACACGACCACCTGTAACATTCCTAATATGGCAATAAGTAAATTCGCGAGCTAAGCATAACTTCAAATACAAGTAAAAACAAAAGGTCAAAACAGGAAAACAGTACGTGGACAAAAACAAGACTTAATGAAACGAAAACTAAACTTAAAAGACAAGGTAAATCCGTCTTAAAAATAACTTTCAAAAAACTTCACAACAATAGCCTGCGCCACTGTCACGAAACTAAACTCTGGTGAAGTCTCTCTGGGAAACAGCGCCGAAATCTTTGTTCTCGGCCCCCAGCTGTGTACCAGGATTTGAGTACGCGACATGATTGTCCTGTTAGAAAAGCCATTGTCGATTTGCCATTCAAGATAAAGGGAAATTCGAAACGCACTTCCGGTAATTCGTTTAATCCGTTGGGTGGCCAGAACAAGGATATCGCGCTGCTTCGTGTCGTTGTTTGAGTTCCTTTCCTTATCGGAATTTTTTCCGTTATTTGTTTATCTTCTCGTATCTATCCTATCAGCTAATAAAACGACCTGCCAGCCAGATGAATTTACCTGCAAAAAGGGCACATGTACAAAGATGAACTGGAAGTGCGATAATAAAGAGGACTGTGGGGACTACTCTGAGGAGACTGACTGCCCTCCTACAAGCTCAGAAAGTAAGGCTGTTCTGCACCTAATAATAGGCACAAGCAACATGCGCAGACGCAGTAGCCCGTTAATTACTAGCAGGACACTATAAACGTATAGCCTGCGTTGCAAGTTTTCCACGAGAGTTGGATGAGAAAGTTGTAATGAGAGCAAAAAAGGGGAGGAAGCAGATGGTGAAAGTAAAACGCTTGTTTAGAAACCCAGCAATTCTGATACACACCTTTAATATTTCACGGTTCGTCCCATCCGTAGGTTGACAGCTTGTCAACATTGTAGCCGAAAAATAGATTACCCGATTTTAAGAAATTTACCTCATCCCCTCCCCTCCCTTTCCGCTACCTTACCTTGTTCTTCCTCCTTTTCTTCGCTCTCATTTTGCTACTTTCTCAACGAACTCGGTGATAAACGTGGGGCATTGTCTATCACTAACGGCATAGGCGCCGCGGGTCAAGAGCGCGATCCTGCACGAAATTGAGAAGAATGGAGGTAAGTGAGGTTCAGAAATACGATTGCCGTTATGAGAAATTAATAAGAGGTTTTGTGAAGAATTCTAGGGTCAGTATAAGATACCCCGCCTCTAAAACTGCAAGGATGTACACACTACCTAACTATTGCTTTGCACTCGCCTCGGCATTAAAGGGCACCTGAACACGGCCTTCGGTCGTATTAGGGCCTAACGGCTGTACCGATGAGCCCTAATGAGGGCGAAACAGCTGTCCAAGGCTTCCACTGACGGGGTGATATTGCAGGTGCTCACATGCGTAGGAAACCGGGCATACCGCGGAGTTTAATAGTGTGTGTTTAGCTGTGCTTCCTTGCAGTTTTGGTATTGTCTCACCTACACTTCTCTAACCTAAAGTTAGCACTAGCACTAACTTGGCCCTTCTCCCTAAGGAAGGAGAAGGTAGGAAATCAAAACAGGATTAAAATTGCGCAAGCAATGTTGAGTTCTATTAAATAAGACCTGTTTCTCAACAGGCCGTTCGCTGTATGCCTAGATATATACTAAATCCTTAAAAAAATAATATGAAAGAAGATGGCTCGAGTTTAAAACATCCGCTTTCTTAGACAAAAGTACAGAGCTATCTCAGGCTGCAATAATTGAGGCCCACGGTGCAAGAAGAGTTAAGCGTGCTGTATATTTGTGGGTAAACCCGCTATGCAGTAATTATTTTAACAAATCTGCATTTAATACGAGTTTTAGTGTTCAGCTTTTATTCCTTATATTTAGATACAACACCGTTAGGTTTTGGATCACTGGAAATCGACCTGAGCAACAAGTCTAGGCTGACACACAAATCCAAGAAGATTGTCTTATCACCAGACTTTCTAACAGAATCGTCCCAGATATACTGGTCGAACAGGAAGCGTATATACCAGTTATCTCGACATAATGGCAACAATGAAGCAGTAAAATCTCGTCCTGATGACATCAAGTCAGTGGGGAGTCGGGCTGTTGACGGGCCGCCTAAGAAATCATTGTCCTGGACAGACAGCAAGGGAGTTGTAATGGAGGTATCCGCCGATCTCTCTTTCACGGAAATCTCAGAAATAATAGAGAAAAACGTTAAATCCCAGAGAGCTATTTTCCTTAGTAATGGGTAAGTATCAAAAGCTTGGCCTTTTCCAATGTTTGGTACCCCTTTTTGTCTTTAGCCTTCTCTTGGTTGTGCCACTGAACTAGCTGGGAGGTCTCACTGATCGGGGTTCATGCGGAAAATCTTTTTTGATGCAAATATTGTAATCACATTTCTCCATACTTACAGCCATTTCAGGCTAGTTGCATTCACCTTGGATAAATAATGAATTTGTCTACGAACTGGCTGATCCCTACGGAAAAAAGAGCAGGGGGTGGCTATACAAAACTTAGGTTAGTTGTTATACTGGCCATCACTAGCGGAAACTTGTCATTTTTTTTTTAAAGCTTTGGTAAAAGTAATCCACTTCTCAATATCGGCGCGGCACTCGGCAAACATTACAATGAAGGGAAAGAACTAGGTAAGTTGCTCTCCCTTTCTCTTGTTCCGTTGTATCTTCCAGGTACACCCACCCACATGCAGTTATGTTGGTTTGACTACCTCAAAAGTGGGATGAATTTCTCTAAAGTCGGCACTAACGGTTGTCAGTTTCTACTTGTTGCTCCAATAAAAGCACTTTGATAGTTCTACTGTTTTATAATGAAGTCCGCTGTTGGATTGTATGTTCCTCTGCTAGACACTCCCTTTGATCTCTGATCCAGTACGTTAACAACAATGTTTTTGTTATAATTTAGGATACGTGGTAACTGAAGATATCAAAGGACTTGATTCTTTATTGGAATTGGCCCGTAAGGAAATGAGGGCATCGCTCAGTCGACGATGTCTAGTGGGTGAATTTCGATGCAAGGATTCTCCCCGATGTATTCCTAAAAGTAAACGCAAGTAACTAAATACCGGGACCCTGGAGTAAAACGAGGCCTTGGGACAATATTTCGAAACTGAAACAAACATATTCGTTTACTAGATAGCTTGGGGAAGAAGGGAACGGGAGGAGAGGTAGGGAAGAAGTAGTTTCCTAAGCAGCTTTTCTTGTGTCAACGCGTTGTGTGACGACAGAACGGCTGCGTAGGAGACTAAAGAGGTAGAGGTAATCATGTCACTGTAAACTTTTGCAGCATTGGCCCGTAAGGGTAAGAGGGCATCGCGCAGTCGACGATGTCCAGTGGATGAATTTCGATGCAAGGATTCTCCCCGATGTATTCCTAAAAGTAAACGCTGTGATGGTTACAAGGACTGTAAGAATGGAGAAGATGAACCAACGTCTTGCAGTGAGTTTTAAAAGGGACTATGCTGTAAATAAATATTTTCTAGTTCATGGGTCAGCAACGTCCGAATCGACCAGCCGTTAATGCCGTCCAGTGACGTCACTACTACCCGAAAACCGGGTAGTGATTTTGATAGATTTATTGTCTAAACATTCGCATAATTATGCATAATTATGAGAAGTTTTAACGGAATTCAGCGGATCACATCCCTATCATGTTTGCGTGGAGTTCAAACATTTCGATAATCTTTATCGTGAACAGCGAAATTGCCCTCGTCTTCGAAACTGAAATGCTAAATTGAAAAGCGAATGAAGAAAGATTACGGAGAGTTGGTAGGTTTTTCGTTTAGAGCCGCTTTGTGGTTTCGGCAATGATTTTGTTTATGCGAAGTTTCTGAGACCAATGTTGTACGTAATTCAACCTTCTAGCTATTTTCACCGTCAAGTGTAATGATTCTGTTAGCTTTTCTTTCTTGTTTCCTTGTTTTCGTTTTTCGTTAAGGACCAAATAGCTTCTTGTGTTTTTGAACCAAGTGTTGCGTGTGTGTATTTATTTGATTGAGTGATTGCGACCGAGTTTGATTATGGAATTACAACCGATTCAGAGTACTGCATGCAGTTGATAGTTTGAACGCTAAACATGAATTACGATTGAAAAAAGTAAAACAATTCTGTATCATGCCTGATGCCATTTCCAAACATTTCTTGGTTTTCCATTGAAAATCGTGTTTAACTTTTTGCATGAATTAAGGCAAAGGAGTAGTGACGTCACTGGACGGCATTAACGGCCCGTCGATTCAGACGTTACTGAGGAAGCAATAACGACTCGAAGTAATCGGATGAAATTCAGGCTAGTTCATGGGGTCTAATATACCAGAGTTAAATATTTAACAATTAATGAATGGGGCTGAGAATCTTATGAAGAATTCATATGATACGAAAGCCGAATTCAATAATTGTGTTATTATTCATTCAAAACTAATTCCTAGTTGAAGAACGTAGCTAAAACATGCTTACCTCCATGGATGTTAAGTTCATCTTCGATAGTGCACGTTTAGGGTTGTTCAGCTCCGCAAATATTCTCCAAATAGCAGCTGTCGCCCTTCGAGTTGTCTTCTTGCTGTTCTTGCCATGTTTTAGCTATTATTTCGCCTAGTTCTTACTCTTGAAACGAGTGAAATGTCCGCTATTTTTGTTTTCACAACCAAGACAACTCAACCTCGTCTCTAGGTCTTCTCGGTTAACGGTGCATTAACCTGCAAGGAGGCTGCACTTTTGACGTCATCGGTTGATTAATTGCTGATTTTCAGTGTAACGCCATCCAAAATAGATCAAAATAAAAATCAAAACCATTGGACAGATAAAGTCCAGAATCTAGGAAATGAAAGGAGGTAAAGATACAAACACCCTCGCCAAGATTTGGGTCGAAGTAATAATTCGTATACGAGATATCCGAGGAAATGTTTTACCCATATTTATAGAGCTTTGTATAGAGAGGCCATACTGGAGCTCATCCGGATGAGCTCCAACACGGCGGACGGAAACCGAAAGAAACATCTGTTACCGAGTTGCTACAAAAGTGTGAACTCATAAACATTAAAGTAATACTTTTCCTAACACCTGAACTGTTTAGATAGCAAAATTCTTCGAAAAAGTCACTTTTTTAGCCTAAATGACAGCTCTTTCGGTCGTCATGAAAATGCTACGTCACGCAAAAGCTTAGAAATTCAAGCGTACCTAATACAAAACCAAGAACCCTTTTGAAGCGAAAATTTGTTTGGAAATTAGTTTTCAGCTGCTCTGATACACCATGAAAGTAAAATCTCAGTAGTTTGAATTTTAGTAACGTCATGTCAAAACCAACAATAGCAAAATTCTTCCAAATTTGGTCATCAGTAACTGGTTATGGTGAATTATGCGTGTGCTTTTAGCCAATCAGAATCGGGGAAATATTTTGAATGAATAATAATGCATGATGTGAAAAATGACGTTTGTCTTGTTTGCACTTGGCTGCGACAATTATTCAAGCTTGTTGAAAGTATAAACATAATACATTTGAGTGTTTCCGCCTAGAAAAAATGCGTTTAAAGCCCAGTTTAAAAGTGATTATCGATTATAGACTTTCGTCAGAAATCCAAGAGGGTCGCCAAGATGGCCGCCATGAATGCTACTAAAATCCTGGGCTAAAACGAGGCTTAATGGGACAATATTTCGAAATTGAAACAAACATTTTCGTTTACTAGACAGCTTGGGGCATACGAACATATAAGTAAGAAAAATATATCATATGGGTGCATAGGAAGCCAACTCCGACTAGACTAATCATTTTTGATCGAAAGCGTTTAGAGAGCGATCAGGTACGCTTTATTACCGTTTAACCGTTTTCAGATAGAAGGGCTTTCGAAGACCCCCCTCCCCCTTCACGAAAAAGCTGGATAACTTCAAAACCGTTTACGCTATGACCACCAACCTTAGCAAATTTTCTTAAAAATTATCTGGGAATATCTTTAAGTCATCGTGACGCGTACGTCAACATTGACGTGACGATGGCAAACGAGTTTTGACAGCCATGTTTTTCAAAGTTGCATTTTTCTTTTAAAAAACGATAAAAAAAAATGCTTGTTTTTTATTTTTACTTACTATGATAACTGTTAATGTAAAACACGCTTTTTAGTGAATGATTTGAAAAAAAAAACCATTTATTTAAAATGGCAAAATGGCAGATGCTGGGTTCAATTTACAACAGTGTTAATTACTCTCGAAATTTCAGAAACTTCGGATTTTTTGCTTTCTAAGCGTCCTTTTTTACAAAGATCGAATTTTCTATCACGACTGCCTCGATTTATAAGGGTTTAAAATAGAATGAAATGCATTTAACTAATTCAAAATGGCGGATCCAAGATGTCGAATGGTAAAAGTTCTTTTATTAATAATAAATGAACGCCATAAAAACCTCACTGCTATTATTAAAGATTATGCATTTGTTAGCCAACTTCTTGATTTTATCAGACACCTTACTTTTTTCACTTTACGGTGTTTTTTAGGGAATTTGGATTTTGCCAATGAATCCAACAATATGACGTCATAATGACGTTCAATGTGTCAATCAAAATATGCCTTGATGTTGGAAATGATGACTATGTTGTTATTGTGCAATTGTGGTACCCATATCATGAGCGGTTTTGAAGTTATAAAGGGAGGCTCTGGTCTGAATAGGGTTAAAATCTTAATAGCACATATAGCTACTTTTGGACTATTCAGAATCTCTGTCCCTGCCTCTCCCTAGGCTTATTTTCCACTATAATAACCCATACTTTACGAAAATATGTTTCTTTTTTCTACTTCTTCACTTAAGAAGGTTCTTGTGTTTATATCAATTGTAGCTGTGACCACATATGTCTAGATCGGCTACTCCCGTAGGGCAAGTATGCTTCTATATGCGAAGAGAGATCTTAAGCTGAGCAAATTGACACAAAGAGAACAACAACAACCTGGCTTCCTTGTTTTATGCTATCCTCGTAGCAGGCTATGCTTGTATCCGCACCACAGTATTCTCGTACCGGGTGCCATTTTAATTAAGATTTTTAACTCTCTAAGTTTGTTTGAAAACTCCCCACTCACGTTTCTTCCCCACAAACTATAGTTTTAAAACGTTCAATGGCTCAACTGGATAGAAAGAAAATTACGCCAGGTAAAAATATTTATACTTTACAGATACCGTTTGCCCATTTTCGCTAATTTATTCAAATTTAAGTTCTTTTTGCCATACAAACTCTTGATTTCCCATACAAACTCTAACATTACCCCTGGACCACCTTTCGTATATCTGCCGATAGGAATTTGATGTTAAGGGTAATTTACAAAAACAAATTAAGGCAGAAATTAAGACAACACTAAACCGCTTAATTTTTGCACTTAATTTAAACCAAAGATTTGCACAGGACTTATTGCTATGTCTGCTGGGTACACCGCGAAGGTCAGCTATCTTTAAAGAATGAATATCACATATCTGTTTTATTTGCGGTGTAGATCTGGCCATGTTAGCGTCTGGATCACAGTCTGGATTATACAGAATTGACCTACGCAACACGTCAAGAGTGACACACATCAAATCAAAGGAGATCTTGTCGCTTGACTTTGGTTTGGACCTGCACCAGATTTATTGGTCAGACGAGAGGAGTATCAACAAGTTGTATTTAAATAACGGCTCGAGCGACGAGATAACCTTTCGTCGTGACGATTTTAAGATAGTTGACAGTTTGGCTGTAGACTCGCTGGCTAATAAAGTGTACTGGGCAGATTCCGCGCAAGATGCAATTTATGTGGGGGATCTAAGAAATAGAAGAAAAGTAAAACTTATAGAAGAAGACCTTTATTTCCCGATAGCTATTGTTTTGAGTCAAGGGTAAGTACAAAATTGTTTTCTTGTCTTCTGCTTGATTGACATTTGAATAAACTACTGTTTAAGGTTGTGTTCACACGAGACCGTTATAGTTTTTGAACTGACCTAATCCCATGCTTCTACGTATTTCGTCTATACTGAAATGTCTCATTAATGTTTTGATTCGTAAACTGTCGGCGTCGTCGTTCTCATGTGGAAAGCAGTAAATACTCAGTTGTATTCAGATTTGTATGTGTTGTAGTTAATTTTTTATCTCAGGTAATTTTTATTTTTCCTTTGTTTCAGCTTCAATAGGATACATTACCATACCCAAAAACATTAAAGAAAAATAAAAATTACCTGAGATAAAAAGGTAACTACAACATATGCACTTACATCTTCTTCTTCTTCTTCTTCTTCTTCTTCTTCTTCTTCTTCTTCTCATTATTATTATTATTATTATTATTATTATTACTATTATTATTATCATCATTACTTTTCATTATACCTTAATAGCTACATATTCTGGACCGCCGATTGCTGTCCGAGGCCGAAAATTGAAAGAGCAAGGCTAGATGGAACTGATAGAAAAATCCTTGTCATTGATGGTATCCAGTCACCAAGTGGCTTGGCTATTGACAAGCAAGACAAGAAAATTTACTGGGCAGGGATCGATGCCAATAAATATGGCATTATAGAGGTCATCTCCCTGGACGACTTAAGTCGCACCGTTATTTTTCATCGTCCAGATTATCAACCGTTTTCTCTGGATGTCTTTGAAGATTATGTGTATTGGTCTGATTTGCGAAAAAACGCTGTCCTGCGCATTAATAAATCCAACGGAAATGGGGAAGAGGTTATTATGGCTGGCTTGAAAGAACCAAAGGGATTGAAAATTCTTCACCAACACCAAGACGTACCAGGTAGGATTACCAATTCTTGCAAAAAACAAGGCACTGTCGCACACATTGGTTCTTCTTCTCCTCATTCTTTCTCCTCTTACTTCCCATCATCATCATCAATATAATCATTATCGTTTTTTATCACTATTATTGGTACATACAAAATCCTCCTTGCGTAACAATATAGAGAAAATTGTGATAGTTATCTCTCACAGACAGATTTAAAAACCAAGGTCTTGAAGAAAAACAACAGGAAACTCGGAGGAAACGTGTTGGCGAGGAAAGGACTGAAACACTAAGGACTTAAAGCAACGACTACGGAAGGGTCTAGTACAGTGACTGGAAGTTTTTTAAATTTCCCGCCACCCTTCAATTCCTTAAGTTCAAGGTACCACGACAGCGACAGTACAGTGATCAAAACCTTTTTTTTTTTTTTTTTTTTTTTTTACAAGTTGATGTACGTAAAAAGTTGTTGATTTGCTAATTAAACTTATTGTCTGGCCGTACTACGCTTCCTGAATACGTAGAAGATCATGGCGGGCCGTAGTGTCTAGTACGTTATGTATTAAGTGGCAACAGGAGGGCATTATGTATGCGCATGCGTCAATATGGGCTGTTGAAGTGCCACAGTGGCATTTTCTGTAAATTGTTGACGTTCAGTACCAGCATTTGCTGGCTGTTTTCTGGAGCTTAAAGGGACTGGTTCACGATAATGCGCATGTGTGAGTTCTGACAGTAGCTGATTGTTTTTCAACCAATCGGAAGCGAGTTAGATGCACGCAAGTAAATTTACAAAATTCAAATTAATTGTTCGCGACGCGAGAGTATTTCCGGGCATTTGGTTTGATTTTATTTATCCCCATAATTCAATTTTATTCTTTGCTACTCCTCAGATATATGTTGCAGCCGATAAGAATAAGATTTACAGCCCTGTCCTGCTTTGAAACAAACATTTACCAACGTGTATTTTTACGAGGTCGTACCCACGCTAACAAAACAGTCACCGATCGGCAAACAAAATTTGTAAACAAACATCTTATTACTGTTCTCTCAGTTCGCCTTATATAAACCCAGAAATACCTACAAATAGCGCCGGACCGGTGACAAAAACACACAACGTATGAGTATAAAGATTATCCTTAATTGAGCATAAATTTCAATTGCTTATCAGCAAATGAACAAATTCATTCGCGTCGCATCGGGTCAGTGTTCCGCAAAACAAATGTTATCGAGTAGCACACATAAAGAAACTAGATTATGAACAGAATATTCAGGCAATAATTTATTTTAAAAACATCAATTCTTAAACATATACGATCGTAAAGCAAAGATACAAGGAACATTTCAAGTGTACCAGATCGGTGAAGATCGCGCGGCCTGTTGCGGTATAACTACAGGTCGGAGTCAAAAATCAAATCAAAGTTGAACGAACTCATGCCTTTAACCACTTTCCAAGTGTCGTGTATTCTTTTCGTATGCCACACACTACTCCTAGAACCATATCAGATCGATAGGCTAAGCTTCTCTATCTCCAGAGACTCTTGAGAACGTCCTGTTGCCGGACGGCCACGATGCTCTTCTCAACCTCCATGACCAAAACATTATTTTTTGCGTCTTTTTAAAACGTAACCAGTCAAACGACACAACCACACGTTAATCACCACTACCGAAGTATAACTAGACCAGCCAAAGCGACGGATGTCCGAATAAAACGAAGGATTTTCAATGATTGTACCAGTAATGGCGATTTCGAATTTAGTGTTGACCCAACAAATTTATTCTGAAGAGACAAACGGCGCGCATGCGCATTATCGTGAACCAGTCCCTTTAATGACGTGTATTGGGTGCTACGTTCCACAAACATGTTCTTTAAGGTATCGTGGTATTTCTACGATGAAAGTGAGTTTATTGTAGCCTCGCTGTCGCCCTTGAGAGGACAGTCTTTCCTTTCGTAAAAAAGTACATCGAAGACAAGATGGCTGCTGAATGTTCTTACGACCTAATATTTCGCGCACATTTTTTTGAGCAGGAGGAAAAGGTCAGTGTGATAATTTTTCGTTAAACAATTATCCTAGATACTTAATTCTTCTCAATAGTACAACTCTAAAATCGAACTTAATCGTTTCAGGAATACAGTGGTTAATTACTTGTCCATTCTGCCATGAAACTGTTTTCACCCTTTCGCTGGCTTGTTTATCTCGAAATCTTGCCTTTCTCCCCAGATTAATTTAATGATTAATAAAACTAAGAATACTTCCGCGAATGAATGGCGCTTTGATGAAGGCTGCGAAAAATCGCCTTCTATAGTAATTTTAGCTCTCTTCTCCGGTACGTCTTCGTTGAGAAATAAAATACACGCACTTCAACTATAAATTTAAATCAATATAATGATGCCAGTAAGATTGTGTTTTGAAAATAAGAATATTCTATCATTTAGTTATACAAAGGAAAAAAATTACATGACTCGGTTTGAATTCTGATTTTTTCCAACTTATTTTGATGGTACACTGTTTGTTTACATTTCATTATGCAAACAAATATAACATTTTGGCGTTTTAAAGAAAATCTAAACTAACTTCCCAACCCCAAAATAGCACGAAATGAAACGTTATCAATACACCTTTTAAATACGTCCTGGCTTCTGTTGCAAAAAAATTGCATTTACTCCTAAATGATACCATTTTGTGGATACTATATTTGTTGATATGCTAATTTGTGAGACATTTCATTCACGAAGGATGTTGACTGAGATCAGCTTCTCCTCTGTATTGAACCACATTCTTGTTTAATACATCAGTTTCTGCTTGATAATTCTTCCATGATGTACAACTTACATAAGGGGTTCATCTGGATACAGTAAAAAGCTGTCAACGGAAACGTTAATAAAAGACAAATTCATCCTTCCATTTGTGTCATGTTTGTTGTCGCATTCCAGCTCATTTGGGTCCTTTAGCAATAGTATTTAGTTTTTGAGGAAACAGCATTATATGCACCCCTCTAACAAACTTCCTGTCTTATGTTTAAACAGGCTTTGAAGGTGAACAACATCGTCAGTTAGATTTAAGGAGTGATGACCATTCTCTGTTTTGAATGGATCACTACTGTCATCAAATATAAATTAATTACAAGAAATCGATTGTGGAACACAGGAGCTGTTACTCAAGAGACGCTTCAAAATAGTAGCTTGGGAAAAATCTCTGTATCTTTTAGAGTTAAAGAAAAATAAAAGTATTGCTCGTTTTTTTCGGGGTATGTGCGTTCGCTTTGTCTGGAACTGAGCTTATGAAATGCTCAAGTGATTATGTACTACATAATCACTAGCAAATTGTTGCTGTCTCAAACTCATTCCATTCTTCGTTTCCTATAGAATATTTTTTATAAATTTTTCCGCGAAAACTCTCGAAAAACTGTAAAAAACCCCATAGATTTCATGTTTTTGTGGCATATATAAACGCGTCTCTCCGCGATCAGTTTAACATGAGACATCGCGCTAACAAATAAACCTCGCGTGGTCAATTTTTGTGTCGCTTTTTGTCTTAAAGCAGCTGAACATTGCTACGATGCATTTCCCCCTTGATAAGTAAAACCACGAGTTTGGAAATCAAATCATAGAAATGCATTGCAGGAACATGACTTTTTGGCGTTGAGTCTTGAAAGTCTTTAAAAGGTCAAGAAAACCTACTACTGAAAAATTTACAAGTGAAAACCCGCGTAGAAAACGTCCGATTTTTGTCATGAAAAAGTACAGTATCCAAAGCACCAACGAAATGGCTTTCAAAAGGACTGTAACTTTACGCGCGAGTTTTCGATTTCCCGCCATCAGATTTGATGCGCCCACGCTATTGTCGTTCAGCGTATGCACGCATGCGCATGCAAAATGCCCTCCTGTTTTAAGTGGCATTTTACGCGCTTAGAGCGCAGTGTATATTTGAAACAGAATCGCGAGATATACGCATTTTATCCTTTTTGGTCATCCTTGGAAATTTCTGAAGGCTCATTTTTCGATCATGAGCCCCAAATTACGGTGTCAAGCACGACACCCAAGTGAAAAATACAGCCAAATACGCAAAATACAGTTTACAGAAAAGACGATGATTTCATAAGGGATATCATTTCACCAAGTGGTGTGAAAAAGACTGATAAAACACAAGCAATCTCTGAATTTGCCCATGCATCGCCTTCTTTTTATGAATGTTTTTTCTTTTTTTGACATTTCGTTGCCGTGAGGGGCGACTGCACGGCTTCAACCTCAGGAGAGTTCGCCAACATTTGACAAAGTAAGCGAGTTGGAATAATCGCGATAAAGAATAAAAAAACGCGAATACACCTTTAAGCGACGTTTTCGCCGCTATAGCCGTCGACTTGAGAATCTTCCGTAGTCTTTGCTTATAGTCCCTACTGACTTTGAGAGACGGCCATGATAAGGAGAAGACAGATTTGGTGGTGTTTTGTCCCCGATCATGAAACAATAAATTTGTATTGACAGAAGTAATTGTCCATTAGACAACATTTATAAGAATTCTGAGTTTTTAAGACTCGTCGCTGAGATCGCCTTGACAAAAGTGGGTCAAACTTCTCTTCTTTTCGAGGGACCACCCTCTCGTGTCTTGTCCTCTTGTTTGCTCATTACTCGTCCATCCAGAATTTTCCCGACGGCATTCATTTTTAATAATTCTTATACCTTTTCTCTTGATGGTGTATTGATTGTTTTGGAAAAAAACATTAATCCAAAGTGTTTTAGAGAACGATCAAGTATTACCGTTGAAAATCGCATCACAGTACTTATGGACTTTTCTGTGCCCCTCACTCCTCCCTCTTCGTTCATGTACTTCTAATCAGCACTTAAACCTCACGAAAATATGTTCCTTTTCTCCACTTCCTACGTTTTAGGCGGTACTTGTGTTTATAACAATGGTGGTTGTGATCATGTCTGTCTAAATCGGCTAAATCCTAGTGGGCAAGTATGCCTTTGCGAAGAGGGATTTGAGCTGAGTGAAGATGGGAAAACATGTACATCACGTACATGTGAAAAAGAACTCTTTGTAAGTTTTGTTCATATTTTACTTATTTCCAAGACTTTAGACAGTACAAACTTGATGTGTGCGCATAATGAAAAATTGAGACAAGGAAACTGACCACAAGAACCTGGCTTCCATGTTCTGCATGTTGTACGTTATCCTCCTCGCAGGTGTGGCTCTTATCACACCACGGCAATCTCTTGCCTAGGGCCTTTTATTATACAACATTTTTAAAACCTAAGCTTGTTCGAAAACCACCCAGATTTCTTCCCTTTAAACCATAGTTTAAAAGGTCCATTGGTTCACACCCAGAACATTACCTTTCATTTTTGTGCGACAAGACGATTCAAAATGTGTCTCAGAGTCGGACAATGCTCAAAATATTTCAAACTCTGACGCAAACAAAAATTTTTTTCTCATCGATATGATTTTGTTTTCTTACTAAGGGAAACATTACAAGACAATTTGCTTCGTATTCGGCAAAGGAATCCCAGGTGGAAAGAACTTTATATGCAAACACCTGGCTGTTGATTATCATTTTGCTGCTACTCGCGTTAGTGCTGGGAAAACGTGTTTTTAAGAAGGTCTACTCGTGGTTAAAAGCGATACACCCTGGAGACGTACAAGGGACAAGAGCAGAGGATCAAGAACGTACAGTTAGAACAGTGGAAGATTTTGCCACCGACAACACAGACATCATGCATGAAAGCGCATTGCTACTGAACTATGATGACGATTCACCTGAGCTGAATCAGCAAGTCTGTACCGCTGAGACGAAAGGAGCATGCGTACACAGAGGGGATTTGCCTTTTAAGGTAAGACAGGCAAAATATTCTTTTATCTCTAACAGGACACCTACGACAGTTATTAACTTGGTAAAGTCCTTTCTAATATTAAGGTACAATGGATGAAATGCAAGTTGCTTATACATAGAGTGAACCATATAAAAAAATTCACTCAGAAAAATATTGAAAACGTTTGAATTTTCTACTTTTTGATTTGAAAGAAGGCCAACTCGGCTAATTTCTTACATTTCTAACGTTTCTATTTGTCCTCAGCATCAAAGTTCGCGAAACTTTGATTTCATGATTTTAATATAATTTATGATCATGTGACAAAAAAAAGGAACGTTTAACTGCGGTTGTGATCCAAACCATGTTAAGTCCTTGTGGTTTCTTTTGAACTGTTTTTTTATTCAATACGGAGCGTTTTGATGTTAAGTCGACCAAAAATTAGTAAAAAGAAGTTCGAATTCTACAAGAATTCTATATTAGTCCAGTCCCGAAATGGTATTGGCTGTTTTTTTTTTTTAATCCATCAGCACATAGAATGTGAGTACAAAAAAGTCGATAAAGTTCTCGTTCTTGGGTTTAACTGAGTAGGGGCCAAAACATACTTACACATTTATTTCTTTACTTATTCCATCATTTAAATGAATCAGCCAATGAACACTTTGCTTATTTCGCAGTGCGCCAATCAAAGCTATGACATCATCGGTCCAGAAATAGCTAAAACCGTCAAAGTGCATGTTGTATACTAATCTTCTGTACAGTAACTCTCTTAAATGCTAGCTCTTAGTCATATAAGTGTCTTCAAAAATTGTATTACTTTTAAATCAGCAATTTGGTTCATTTGAGGCTATGAAGTGTACATGATAGCTTCCTAAAACCATGCATGATGTAGTATTTGTATCCTTTACAACTTATCATACCAATGATTATGTATATTTTTTCAGGTTCAGGGAGATTTAGTGGTTTATATGAATATGAACACAGTGAACATGAATACAATCATCATGAATATGAATAATACCAACAACGTGGAGCTTCAGCAAAATGGCGGAGTGACGGTTGTAGGGGACAAAACGAACATTAATTACCATCAACCTCCTCAGTAGTAAACTGTTACATATGCTTTTTGGTTAAGTTGAAACCATGAAGACGGATTTTGCTTACGGGTTTTTTTGTACTACTTTCAATTGCAACACCGACGTTAGTTTTGTGTTATATTCTACACAGCGCTGGACCATACCGTTAAAGGCTTCGTTTAGACTAGGTATCCTCTCATCCGGGACCTTATTACTCAGATACCCAAGTACTCAACAAAGTTCACAGTGGCACGGGAAGCTGGATCACTGGATATTTCTCTACCGTTAGCCACACCTTTCGCCTCTGTATGAGCTTCTCAGATGTAAAATGATTTTGTACTATAGCAGCATTTTTTTTTTTTTTTGCATTTTTCTCAACTACAGTAGAAGTTCGAGGTAGCGAGGTTTCGAGTTAGCAGGGTCGATTGCCAAATTCAACTTGCCACATTAAAAATTGATAGTTACTGATTTTTCAGTGTATATTGCAGTGCGAATTTCACTTATTTAATCAGAAACGTTAACATTATTAGACATTTCTATGAGAAAAACGTGATCTGTTCGTTGCACCAATTAAGATCAAATTGAGGTAGTTTTGGCCAGTGTTAGTTTTAATGTTTTTACAGTTTATAATTATAAAAGAAGAGTTCATTGGATGGCATCGGAGTGGAGTTAAAAGAACTATAATTATTCGAGTTATCGGGGTAAATTTCAGTGAATTTTTGATCAAGGGAAACAGGGGAAATTAAATTTAGTTCGAGTTAGTGGGGAATTCGAGTTATCCCAGTTCGAGTTATCGGGGTTCTACAGTATGTACGAATGGAGTCAGACCAAGAAAGCTTCACCAATGGACTCGTAGCTAGTGTGAAAGTTACTGTAGGATCAATGCAAATAGGATGCAGGCTGTGAATATTAAATGATTTTAACGATGTATAGCGGAAAAGATGCTCTAAAGATTCAGAAGATTCTTAAGTGACAGAAGCCCTAGAGCGCCAATTGACCAGTGTGGCCCAGGTTAAGCGTCGCATCACGTGCCGAATTTAATGCTATTGCGAAAAATCTGTCCGGCGTTCTCGGTCATTAGCATTAGATTCGGTGCATCTGAAATGCGACATTTGAACCAAGCCTCACACAGAAGGTAGCTAAAATCCGTCGTGCTTTAAGCAACGCAAGTTTTTCCACAGGCTGATCGTTGTTGTAATTGTGCGTTAAAGTACTGTTGTGCGCTTTTACTTAGTATCATCGGTAACGTAAATCGAAGCTGTTATATATCTAGAACTGGTTTAGGTTTTTTTTATTTAACCGTACTTTATAATACAATAACGTATTTCAGAGTGACAGGCTGATAGCAGGAGCCCATAACCCGGAGTGAGAAACTGTCATGTACTCAGGACACGGCGTTTTCACCGAAATTTGTTTATTTTAACAACCGTGTTCCCAGGGTTCTCTCCCCATGGAGCGAGAGAAATTAAACCCGTAGGAACAGGTAGGAGAGAACCCTGAGAACAAGTTGTTCTTTTTAAAATTCCCACTACTCAATTAGCAAATCCAACAACCCCCAAAATTATATTTTTGACCTTTTAAATGACGAGTGTTTGTTTCTCCTTTTTGATATTTAATACGGAACGTACATTCCATTTTCGTGGGGGGGTGGGAAGAGCTCTACAAAAAAATCGGGTAAGTTAAAACGCCGAGACATACCGTAGGCCTAGTTTGGGAGTTGCTTGCTACAAGTTATGGCCTCCTGCTGATAGTATTTATACAAGTAACAGTAGTAAGAACAGAATAGTAAATTTTAGTCATCCCGCTCCAGTCGTGATGTAACGGAGTTTATACTGAATTAGTTTTCTTCTTCTTTTTTTTTTTTAATTCTTTATTTTCAGTTAGTACAAAAAAATTGAAGTATGTTTCGGTTTGAGATCACATGACCGTTGTGCGTTTTCCCTTTGAAACCACCCGCCCCGACCCATACCCCAACTTTTTGTGGAGCCCGCAGTAACACCCGCTGACCAACATAGCGTCTTGCACAGCAGCTAAAAAACGAGTATCTCGACAGAAAGCTGCAAATGATGTGGTTCAAACTGCTCCGATTTGCAAACTTCCTGCGAATATTATGCTACAAGTGTTCAATTACCTTAATGTAAAGACACTCTGTGCTTTATCGACTGTGTAACGGCGATGGTACCATCTTTTTTGTGATCGCTCGTTGTGGAAATACGTTGTTCTACGCTTGTGGCCACTCTCACTACGGACTTTGAAGAAAATTGTAAGGAATCGCTTGTCAGATTGAGTTCTGAAACTGCTTATCAAAGGCTTCATTGGGACTACCAAAAAGGGCGAAAACATTTCACCATCTTTGCTTGAGGAGATCAAGACGAAATGTCCAAGTTTAGAAACTCTGGGCTTGTGTTACTGTGACATGAGAAATATTTCCGCTCAATGTTTGCCACGAAATTTAAAATCGTTACTTCTAGATCATTCGATAGTTCCACTTGGTTGGTTTGAGGGATTGCAATGTGAGACGTTCTTCCCAAATCTATTGCAGTTGATCCTAACATATTGCACCCGCGTTGAGAATTCAGATCTCCGTAGCATAACAAAGCTGAAAAAACTTGAAAATTTAAATTTCAGTTACTGTTATAGAGTTGGTGACGAAGGCATTGAACACATCGCCCGAAATCTTAGTAATCTGAAAGTGCTTAATCTTTCAAATTGTCCGAAAATAACTGATTTAGGATTGCATCATACTGGACGACATCTCATTGGTCTAAAAAGGCTTAACCTGTTATCAAGTTGGAGAATAGCTGATGCTGGTATTCTTTCACTGGTTCACAGTCTCACTGAACTGGAATATTTGAATCATACAAGGAGGTGACGTAATTCAGGGCTTACTGAGATCACTGACAAGTGTAAAAAGCTGAAGTTGTTGGACGTAACAGGCTGTACTGCTATTACAGAAAGGAATGTGAGTAATGCTATGTTACTTTTACAAATGTACCTCTGTGTGATATTCATTAGGTGTAGGAAAAGTTACATGTATGCACTGAATTTTTTTTTCCCTCTAGAATTATCATTGAATATTGCTCGGGAGCTAAGTTTCAAATGGGCACAGTACAAAACTTCATTAGCAGACTTAAAATGGGCATGATTAGTTTTAAACAGTCTCTGTATAAAGCCCATTCCTCAGTGCAACTCAAGTATAAGCATAAGTATAGCATGGTTCACACCAGCGACACAACATAAGCATGAGCGTAAGAGGCTTATGCGCTAGTAACGATGGCCTTGACATAAGCATAAGCATAAACACAAGAATATTAAGACCCTGATTCTTGTCCTAATGCTTATGCTTATGCAATGACAGTTCTCACTAGCTCATAAGCTACTTGTACTCATCAGCGCATGCTTATGCTTGCATTGTGCAAAAACTCATGCTTTTGCTGGTGCTTACACTCCCAGTGAGAGCCAGGCTTTAATAAGAGATTTCATTAGTCTGCACTATTTGTAAAACAACCACATTTGGCCCAGGTCAATGTGAGCAGTTGGTGAGAGGAGATAAAAAAACGCACCATACCATCTACTTTGTAGACACTGAATTTGTTTGAACTAGTGAGTCTTACCAGGCACTGTCTTTATTAGGGAAATTAGATGCCATCACATTTTAACACTACAGGGTTTCATATGCACCTTGAAAATCCTTGAAAGTCCTTGAAAATTGCAGTCAGCACTGGAAAGACCTTGAATTTCAGTGCTAGCTAATAGTTTAAGGAGAACTGCAAAGGAAAAGTAGCAAACACAAAGACCTTTAGGGTAAAATTCTCCTGATGTGAAAGAACTAAAAAGAGATAGGTTCAAGGCTCTTTTTTCCACTGAAGGGAGTCCTTGAAAAAGTGCGAAATGAAAAAAGTCAAAGTCCTTGAATTTTTTGTTCAAAAAAGGGTACGAACCCTGATATTATTTCTGCGCACCAAAGCCTGTCAAAATAGTCTGTTCAATCTCCAGTTTTATAAAACGTAAACAAAGATTTACATTGCAATTGGCTTAAGTTAAGATGTGAAAAGCTCAGGTGAGAGATGAGCTCTATGAAATTATACTATTTTCAACAATAAACAAACATAAAAGCAGAACTCTATAATTATAATTATTGGCAATAGCTAATTTTCCCTTGGAAGATAATGGTTTGGCAATAACTCTACCCCTGTTAAGGAAAACACGGTGCCAATTTCTCTCATTTGTTTTTCCTCCAAACAGTAGCTAAACGTATCTGCTTTGCAAATTACAGTTAATTGCTGTTGTACATGTGTAAAAAAACTAAGAAAAGGGAGAAATTCGAGCACCGTATCACAATCTAAGTTATTTAAGGCAATACAATACAATTTAAGTTTCTTAACATGTCCCAAAATGGGCCGATTTTCAATGTTCATTTGCAGTCATCGAGATAAAACCTAATTACAATACTACTAAAAGTTATGAACATAAACTAAAATAAAAATAATTATGAACCTAAAAACATTACACAAGTCAAAGTATAGATGCCCAAGGCTGTGCTCTAAGGAAAATTGGAGGGAGCCCAGTGCTTTGAACCTGTAAAATTTAGGGTGCCCAGCATATGATTTGTATGAAAAAACTGAGATTTTCTACTCGCCCAAGGGCAAAAGTTAGGCGCCAGGGGCCACCGGGCTCTGCCAGAGCACAGCCCTGGATGCCCAAAGTTACCTGCGGGCATTTAAAAAGATCAATATTCATACTGTTCTTAGTGTCCTCTTTTAACTTATTCCACGATACTATTGCGTAACAGAAAAATGATCTTTGTGCAGTCGAGATTCTCCTAAATGTAGTGTCTAAGTGATTCTTCTGTCTGCTATTCTGACTGTTGATATTAAAACGCTTTACCACCATTGGCTCAAGGTAACTGGCAGCGAGGACATTAAGAATTTTAAAAACATGATTACGTCACGAAGCTGTAACATGTTTTTAACTGGAAGCCTTCCTTTTTTTTTTGTACTGTCTGTTCCGATCGACGCTGGTATATAAAATGAAGCAGAACCCTTGAAACCGTTATTTATCTTTTCCTCATTAAAAAAAACATCCTTCAACATACAGAAGAAACTAGAGGGAATGGACAGTAACAGAACCACTGCAATGTCCTGGTAGGCACAATGGTCGCCCGTGAGACGAGCTGTAATAACGTTGGACGGACCCAAAGAACTCCATAACGCTCCATCGTTTTGCATCGTTCCAGTGTCGTTCCTTTTGCGGCTGGGGAGAGCTGTCGCAGCTGTAAGGAGCATGGTGCTCTTGAAGGCTATTTAACCCAGAAAATTTGTATATTAAATACACTTTACAAAGTTAAGCTCTAAAAAACGAAACTCTTTGAGCCCTTATACGAGTGATCAGCAGAAAATTCTCCTAAGATCAATGCAGAGAAGTTAAAGACATGGTCATCTAAGATTAATTTAATTGATACTTAAATAAATTCTCCCCACTACTTCTATTGGAAAAGTATAAGGACAAAAGTCATTAATGTCTCAATCGTTTGGCGGCGTTCTTTCGAGGTAGGGTAAGTGAGTTATCCCCGTTGTAGCATGGTGCTCTTTAATAACCTTTTATCTCGCTGAAGTGATTATTATGTAACTTCTCCTTACAACATCAACATACACATTGTTCAGCGGACACGTGACCAGAATGGGCAAATTGATCAACCAGAGGCTTTTATCTTCATATAACTCCAAATTCTCTTACTAGTGACTAAGGATATGTAGAGCAGCCACAAAGGAGAAAGCTGTTTATCACAAAATTTGTAAATTTAAAATACTTTTCACAGAGTTCAGCTCTTTGGAAAAATTATACTTGCTTGTTTATTTTTAAAATCCCAAAGTAATGAAACGCGGGGGAATCCCCGAATTCAATACTCTTTAGTGTGGCTAATGATAACATAAATCCCTTATGTGATTTCTGCAGCAAGTCAAGTCTGGGTTTAAGTATCACTAGTCACGGAATTTTACAGTTCTCAAGCCGAGAAAGAAAGCATCAGTATAGTCAGTGTTAAGTTCGTGAGGCTGGAAGCCTCACGCGCGAGCGAACACTGTAACATCATGGCCCACGTTGTCTTCCAGTTATGCTTCGTTGCTTCTTTCTTTATGGCCAAGACTGAAGCCTTCTTCGCTCAGCCAGGTGATAATTAATAATTACACTCTTAAGGTGTAGAAACCTCATTCAGCTCCATTTATATTGTCATGAAGTGTTTAGGCCAACACCGCGTCCCTGATCAAAGAGCAGGATGCGGTGAATACATTATACACCGCTAATAATGCAATACCGATGGACCGTCCTTTTATTTCTTGTTCATGAAAGCTGAAGAATTTTCAGA